CTATAGAGGCTTTTGGAAATAATACCCAAAAAATTTTTCAAGATCATTCTTGTGAAATGACTTTGTAATTGAATACGGGAGCATATTATTCGGAACGTCACAATCCGGGGGTATCGTCTTTGGATTCAAAAAATATCGAAACTTTTCCAACGCTACGTGATTACTGCCTGGAACCTGAACGGTGGCTAGACGAAGTAGTTGATTCATTTGGTCTACATTAAGACCGTTTTTATTGCAATGTCCTATCCACCATTTAAAGAGTGCCACTATCTCATCATAGGACAATTTACGATGACGTAATTCCGTAAACACATCATTTATGGTCAATTCCTGTATATAATTCAATTGTTCTTTAGCCTTTCGGAAAAATGGACCACATTTTTCTGAAAGAACTGTGGGGACAACCGGCACATATTTTATGAATGTTTGCATATCCTGATTAGGAAGCCGGACCTCATTAATTGGCATCACTCCAGTTGTTGATAATATCGACAAATTCTTAGAAGAACATTGAAAGAATATATTTTCGATAATGTTCCCTACTCGAGGATTTGGTGTGCTATACTTAAACGTGAAATGAGTGAGTGCGTGAGCAGCTCTATTTTGAAGCCATTCTTTAGAGGCTTTAATTACATCATTATCAGAGTGTGAATGTGATCCAATCAATTCTCGATACATTAGTGCTATTTGACTCATTTCATCTTCATACAGTAGTCGAGAAAGTATTCCGGCCATAGTAAGCATCTCCTCATTATAGACAGCCAACGTTTTATCAACCAAGTCAACCGATTCTCTTTCTACTGTTGGTATGACTCTTGCGGCAAGATGTGAACAACACCCAGTGGTTTGATGTGTGGGAAATCCAATGAAAATTCTCCCTTGTTCCGGATACGGCAGCAAATCTTTGAAAATGTCAATAACTTTTTTACTTTGTGCATTATCAGAGCCACCACCTCCCGAGGAACTATGTTCATCAAACCCAGTGAAAAGCATCTGTATTAGTGTCTTGCTCGGCGGTTTCTTTTTCGTTGACCGTTCCATTTCTGCTGAAAATTCTTTGCTTACTCTCACATCCAAATACCCATTAGCTATTCGCAGAAATATTGTCGTGCTCTCTAGCGAACAATCTTGAATTGATATTGTCCGTGACCGTAACGATGGTTGTGGTATTATTAGTCGTTGTACATCAAGTTGTACGTTTCTTACGTCGACTGATGTTAGTTGAAATAGATGTTTTGGTGAATATGTGCCAATACCGGAAATAATGTTCATTGCTCGCGGATCTGTCATTTTTTTAGTGAGGTGTACTATTCGGTGATCATCATAGTATACTGTGACTTCGCGAAGATTTCCAGTAAAACCCTGCATAATGAAACAAATATTATTTGACACAGCGGAAGCAAATATAATTTAAAGAGTTGATCCACTTACTAATGAGGTCGCAATGAAACGACCAAATTGGTCGGGATTTGGAAGCTTGAAGTTATACAGCGTAATGTTAATACGATTAAAAAGTTTGTATGTGATGTCAAATATATATTTATTACTTCTGCTGGTTCTCTTGCATCCATCAAAAAGGTAGTCCATGTTTGATCAACTTGATCAGTTGGTCCGCGTTTAGCAAATAGTTGATCTCCACGCCAGTAAAAAGCCATTCCCTGTCCACCGGAAGAAACACTAAAAAAATATTAAAATATTTGAATTTTTCAAATTCGATTAATCTAAAAAGGAAGATAAATATTATTCAACTTACAATGGCTCTTCACATACGGAGAATAACGAGTAAAATCCCACCCCAAAAGCCCCAATCTATTATTTTCGCAAACCAATTCAAAAGTAAACACTCAAAATATTAATGTCTATCATGAATTATTGATAAAAACGGTTTGTACAGAGTCTTCTATTGACCTTTTGTTCGTCCGGATTTCCCTCGGCAATTTTCTTTAGACGGTTCCAGTCTTCAGGCCTAAATGGAAATCCATTATTTTTAAATAGTATTCGCACACATTTATCCTTGAAATTGGTCTTTGCGTTAGCAACTCCGTTTTTCTGCGTTTGAAATATTATTTCTACGCTTGAAGATTTGGCATCGTCTAATAATGGTGATATATAATGTTGTGGTGAGCTGCGTGAACCCTTTGAATTATTCCAAATGCATGCAGAAGCCTTCCAAGAACTAACCTGCATTTTGCATAAGCTCTCGAAAAACTACAAACTCAGCTGAGTATCTTTTAAAATAGGCAATTGCAAGAGAATTCAGCCAGGAACATTAATAATTAAAGGCAAAGTTGCTAAATGCACATACCGTGCCAAAATTTTGTCAATCAAATGCCTTTGATTTACTTCAACTTTTTCTTCTGCCACAAGGTTAGAAAGTACTTGGTTTCTCAGAGAATCAAGCGACATTTTGAAAACTAATTGTAATAAGGTATAAGTTTTATACGATTGGGAACTTTTTATATATCGATATAATTTTTGGTGATACAGATTTTACTGGCACAGTGTTGTGTGCCAGTGTGACCCAGAAAATTCTGTTCATGTTTTTGTAAGAAATTTTATAACGATAATAGTGCTTACGCACTATCATTAAATAACGCAATTTCTCTTTAATCTTATTTTTGGGACGTAAAATTAACGAAAACTCCGATGAACAAAGATGATAGGTAATTATTATTGAATTGTTCCTATTTAGCAATTAGATTTTCATTTCATTCTAAACCACTTTTCGGT